ACAGCCTCCACCTCCTGGCCTCAAGCGAGCCTCCTGCCTCAGCCTCCTGAGTAGCTGGGGCTACAGGTGCACGCCGTGACACCTGGCTCATTTTGCCTTCTTTGTGAATTGTCACTTTTATTCTTTCTTTGTGCAGCCCAAGCTTCCCGCTACCCTGACTTCCCGGCCAACAGCTGGACACCCCCGTGTCTCCCAGATTCCGAAGGGCCCGAACCAGCCTCAGCTGGCTGATTTCCCATGTTCTTACCCACTTTCTCTTCGACTCCGTGCCATCCGCCACCTTCTGAAACCCTGAGGCCGACCTCCAGCCTCTCCCACCTGGACCCTGGCCGTCTCAATGGGTCTCGGGCCTCCACACTCCCTCCCTGGCCCAAGAGGGACCCATGAAAGATGTAACGATTCCTCCCGCCCTCCCCTGTGCTAAAACTCTCCGCGGCTCCCCACTGCCGTGGAGAAGGGAAACGAAAACGAACCGCTGTGACCTTATGGACCACTTTCACCACCTTGTATGGCGGATATTATCAGCTTTATTAGACAGCCCAGTGGGTGAAGAGGTGGCCCGGAGTCATACAGCCCTTCTGTGGCTTCCAAGGCCTCTACTTTGCTATGTGTGAAAAGTCCAGGCCACCAACCTGTGGTGGCTCACACCTGTAATCCCAGCCCTTTGGGAGGCGGAGGCGAGAGATTTGCCTGGGCTCTGGGGGTCGAGACCAGCCTGAGCAACATGGCGAGACCTCATCTCTACAATAAAAAAATTAGCTGGGCGTGGTGACGCACACCTGTGATTCCAGCTACTTGGAAGACCGAAGCGGAAGGATCCCCTGAGCCCGGCAGGTTGAGGCTGCGGTGGCCGTGAGCGTGCCACGGCGCTCCAGCCTGGGCCACAGAGTGATCCAACTCAAAAGAGTTTAAAAAAAAAAGAAATCAATCGATGTGGTCTCCCATTCGGTCACAGACTGTGGGAGAGACCATGAGTTCCCCCCAAAGAGGCCCCCATCCAAATTCCCAGAAGCCGTGCATATGTCGGGGTGCGTGGCAGAGGAAATTCCAACAGCAGATGGGATTAAAGTTGCCAGTCAGCTGACATTAAATAGAGTGATGATCCTGGATTAACCGGCGGAGGGGGGAGCAGGCATTGTCATCACCAAGGTCTGTAAAAGTGGAAGAGAGATGGGGAGAGGTGACACCAGAAGGGGACAGTGATGGGACAGGAGGACCCTGCTTGAGGGACCCACTGCAGCCTCGAGGCTCTGCAGATGAAGAGACAGGGTCGTGAGTCATGTGGAGCTTCCAGAAAGGGACACAACCCTGCCAACCCCTTGATTTGTGTCTAATGAGGTCCATGTGGGGCCGGGCATGGTGGCTCACACCTGAAATCCCAGCGCTTCGGGAGGCCGAGGAGGGAGGATCACTTGAGGTCAAGAGTCAAGACCAGCCAGTGTAACATAGTAAGACCTTGTTTCTGTAAAAATTAAAACTAACATTAAAAAAAATCTGAGCTGGGCTCGGTGGCTCAGCCTGCCATCCCGCGCCTTTGGGAGGCTGAGGTGAGTGGATGGCCTGAGCCCGCGGGGTCGAGACC